GCCTCAAAAAACAGCTGTGAAGCTACATACTTGGCCGTGACATTAAGGAATAACTTGTCATATAATGCACAGCCCTGATGTTCACACCTACATCTTCAGTTTCCTAAGAATTTCCATTCTGAGCGAATGACTTTAATTGATTGATTTCTTAAACTCGAATGACCTGAACTGACATTTCACATACTCAAAAAGCTGGTTAAAAGTTCAACAGCTCACATACTTGCAGAGTCCATACCTTAGCAAAAGGGGATTTTTCCTGTACACGCTCCTAATGCTCACAGTAAAAGCATCGTTCCCACGTAATTCAGTGGCTTGAATAGTAAAAGAGAAGATTTTTGGACTAGCACTGGCTACTGGCACTAGAGGTTTGAGGCACTGCTGCAGGCACGTAGCAATAAGAAAAGGAAGAGTGAGGAGCAAGGTCAACACCTTGGTGGTAACGGTGACAAGCTGGACAAATGCTGAGGTAAGACAAAGAGAGAATAAAGACATAGAAGAAGGTTCGTGGGCAGCTAGGTAACACTCTTCCAAAACTTGGAAAACTCATCAAGATTCCCCATTCTCAAAACAAGAACCTTAATTTTGGCAAAAAAATTGTGTCCTGCCCTCCAATGACTAAGCCACACTGGGAAAAATCAGACCACTCCCAGACTGATTTACTCTGTAATGCAAAAGCAGTGAGAAACTTGCTCGCATTCCAAGAGGGTCTCACTTTGCTCAATATAGCTGAGCATTGTTAAAAAACAAGTGGATTCAAGATGCTGAGAAGAGCAATATCTTTAGGTCAATCATAGAATCGTTTAGGTTGGAAAAGACCTTTAAGATCATCAGGTCCAACTGTTAACCTAACGCTGCCATCCCACCACTAAACCATGTCCCTAAGCACGCAGGACAGGGTGACTTAAGTGTTTGGAGGCAACACAGGGAGCCTTCCCAGGCCTGACCAGAAAAAAACGCGACAACAACAGAAAACCAAGACCTGAATTTATGAACTGTTTGCACCACTCCTTGGTTATCTGCAAGTTTGTAAACTAGACTGTTCTACCACATATGTTGCTGTTACCCCTATAAAATTCATCAACTACTTTGCCTGTTGTCGTGGAAGTTAAATGCAGAATAGTAGAAACAAGTAAAAACAGCACTAACTTTATTAATCTGATGTTTAAGCTACCGCCATTTTAAAAATTAATCTCTAGTGATTAACTTCGATGATTGAATAAGATGCATCAAATATGAGCATCTCTGATGAAAAGTCAATAATATCTTCTCCAAGATTTTAGTAACTCACTGGTTTTGGAGTTACCCAAATTACTGGATATTGTGTTTGGATTTTTTAAACTAAAAGCAACACAGCAAATGTGTAATTCTGCTTCCAAACATACATTGAATGTCAATTCTTTTTTCAGAGGATTGTTTTTACACTTAATTTTAGTATATTCCTTGGAATTCTAGGTCATAAGGAAGAATCAAAGCGGTATTGCTTGTCTACATGTCTGATTTGCTAACCATGCTTTAGTTCAAATTAAACTTAGAGGGATATAATTCCTAGAGATGTAAGTACTTAGAAAAATATTAATCCAGGTTTTAGCATTAGTAATTGCAAAGGAAATCCTGAATATAAAAATATACCTCAATCGGCAAATATAGCAAAACAGAATCAAAAAACCAGCTACACATATTTCCTTCATATACGAGTATTCTACATTTTTTTCTTACAAGCAACAGAGATTGCTAACTTAAATGTGATACAAGATAGCGTCATAACTATTTTCTTACATTTAAAAACCCCACTATCTCCATCTGTCTTTAAAATAGCCTAGGCTAGATATGTACTTTTCCTAGAATTTTAAATAACATTTCTAAGAACATTTATTTTTTTTTTTAAACCTACCCTTATGTATAGATTCTTATCCGCTTTATTAAACACATTGTTCAGACTGAACATCACTGGTTACAGAGGTTTGCTGCAGAAAGTTGTATAAATAATAGATAATACACTAGTTTCAGTATTTTATTGATAACTCTTTAGTTTATGAATATAATAAAAGGCTCGACATTTTAGCTTTTAAAAATCTTTATTTCCCACTGCACGTTGTTCAGTCGTGCACAGAGAAGCGACAGAGCAGCAGTGCAGTAGCAGCCCTTGAAGCTCATGCTCATGGCAGACCCTTAAATTCCCACTGTTCATGACTTGATCTGCCCTAGCATTATGCATCCAGCCATCTTCTGACTTCCATGACTAACAGATAATCCCACCCTCATGCAGTCGTCTCTTGTGAAAAGACCATATTATACATATTTTTAAAAGTTTACCCACTATTTTTACACTTGACTGCATTTTCGTGCATATATCTATATCAAGGTGAGTGTTTCCTGAAGAACTTTTTGTATTTGACCAATTTAAGCCAACTTGCAGAAATGCAAGGTTTGTCAGAAATGCACATCAAATTGGATTCAGACTATTCAGGACTTCAGATATATTTATTTTGAAGACCAATGCAAAGCCTACTGTTGGAGTTGGTACGATCAGCTAGCAAAAAGAGAAGGAAACAAGGATACGTCACCATCAGCATGTAAGGAGCATCGCAAGCAGTAGAAGAAAGAGAGAAATTTTAAAGGGAGAATTACGACAAGTGTTTTTGTATGAAATGTTCACTCAGTGTTTCACAGTTATCATCCTGGATAGTCTTTTCTGCATTAGAGTACTGTGCCCAGTGTAGTTAACTGTAACAGAATACAGGAGGGCTCTACTGTCGGTAAAACCAGCATCGCTTTTTCAGAGGAAATGGTTTAAACACAACCATCCACCACCTTGCAAAGACACGTTCGTGTTCCAATACCAGCTTACGTATCCCCAGCAGATATTTAGGAATCAAACTTTAGTTTTTCTTTTTAACCCAGTGTCACTATTATTTTTGTACTACACAGGCCTGAAAAATAAACAAGGGCAAACCCCTCCCTACTACTCCTTGTGTAAATGTTGTGCTTCCAAATTATAATCTCAAAGTACCTCCATGGCAAAACATTCCCTTCACAGTATACAAATGCAACTAAGCAACAGGAAAATCAAATGGATTAACCCAAGCTGGATCAGCCACAGACAACTGTCCTTCAGCATCCCTAACTCCAGCCTACAGCAGAGCCAAGGGCAGGTAAAGAAACTTTCTGCAGGCTATGCCATGATTTGGTTCCTGATTTAGATGTGGGTTTCCATTTGTGAAAAGGAGGAAGCGGCTGAAACCATACGCGATTGACAGTATTTAAAGTGTTTTCTTGTAGAGTCCCTACTTCATACTTCTGAAAATAATCTTTATCTAAAACATGGAAATCCAGCAGCTGCCAGTGTAGCTTTACTACACCGAGTCCTGAGCCCCGCACTCGCTGCAATCTAAGAAGGCACGAGTTCTGTTTTACTGAAGTTCAGTAAAAGCTGATGAGGGCTCTTCTTTTTGATACCAAGCTTGAATAGAAGACATTACTTCTAAGCAACCATTAGGAGACGTTTCAAAGTTTTTCTGCTTGTTAACTCAGCAAATGGCAAGCATACCCATCTTCTTTATTTACAGGGATAAAGGTCTGTATATGAGACTTATTTCTACAAGTCATTGTACTAAACCTGTTTACCTTTTCATGATTTGATCAAAGGAGGCATCAAAATTGAATTTGTTCTCAAAATAAATTACAAACATTAATACAGCCATAAATGTCACTGCTTTAGCGGGATTTCTGATTTAATTCCATTACATACAGCTATTTAAGACTTCATCAAACAAGAGAAATTGTTTAATAGCTCTTTTTTCCTTTAGTAACAAACACTGTCCTTTCCTTACAAAGGGAACACATAAGAAACATGTCAGAGCAGAATAATTAAAAATACAGCATCAGATTATCTCAAAAGACAGAAAGGTAGGGCAATGGCAAGCTGCATTCCACAGAAGACAACCATGAAATCACTCACCAGTGATATTTTTGCTACTTCACCCCTTCTATACACCAAACAGGGACTATTTCAAAGCAGCTTCTTAATAGACCAAGGTAAATTCACAACAATAACCTACTGCTCCTCTGTCAAATACACACACGCTAGGAAGCCCTGACCGGTCTCCCAGATGTTGCCTTAAGCTACTGTCTATTGCACAAATCAGGATCTTCCTAACCAACATCTTCAAAGTCAAACCAGGTATTAGCACTCCATTTTATTATCTTAATTATGATACTAAATAGAATATAAACAGTTACTGTGTGTGCCCAGAAACAGGAGAACTTCATTTTTCGAAGCAGTGTGTGGAACCTAAAAATTTAAGATTTTTGAGGAAAGGGAGAAGTATATATCTGACTTCCTATGAAAAACTAGCACAGTAAATATGTAAGATCACAGAATCACACAGAATCACAGAATTGCAAGGGTTGGAAGGGACCTCAGGAGATCATCCAGTCCAACCCCCCTGCTAAAGCAGGCTCTCCTAGAGCATGTTACACAGGACTTCGTCCAGGCGGGCTTTGAATATCTCCAGAGAAGGAGACTCCACAACCTCCCTGGGCAGTCTGTTCCAGGGCTCTGTCACCCTTAGAGTAAAGAAGTTTTTCCTCATATTCAACTGAAACCTCTTCTGTTTCAGTTTGCACCCGTTGCCCCTAGTCCTGTTGCTGGACACCACTGCAAACAGATACTTATTCCTGAATAAAGAAGCACCTTAACACACAGATTACGTGGCAAGATGATACGCGTTTGTCA